TCCGATATCATCAGAGAGTTCACACAGGAGAAAAGCCTTATAAATGCAGTAAATGTGGGAATTCTTTTACCACTAACAATCTCCTTCATACTCATCAGAGAGTTCACACAGGAGAAAAGCCTTATAAATGCAATGAATGTGGAAAGTCTTTTTCCCATCGTCCTGGTCTCCAATATCATCAGAGAGTTCACATAGGAGAAAAGCCTTTTCAATGCAGTGAATGTGGGAAATCTTTTACCGGGAACAGTGATCTTCGTCGTCATCAGATAGTTCATACAGGAGAAAAGCCTTATAAATGCAGTGAATGTGAAAAGTCTTTTTCCAGTCCCTCTGGTCTCCAATATCATCAGAGAGTTCACACAGGAGAAAAGCCTTTTCCATGCAGTGAATGTGGGAAATATTTTACCGGGAACAGTGATCTTCGTCGTCATCAGATAGTTCATACAGGAGAAAAGCCTTTTAAATGCAGTGAATGTGGAAAGTCTTTTTCCCGTCGCCTTGGTCTCCAATATCATCAGAGAATTCACACAGGAGAAAAGCCTTATAAATGCAGTAAATGTGGGAATTCTTTTACCACTAACAATCTCCTTCATACTCATCAGAGAGTTCACACAGGAGAAAAGCCTTATAAATGCAATGAATGTGGAAAGTCTTTTTCCCATCGTCCTGGTCTCCAATATCATCAGAGAGTTCACACAGGAGAAAAGCCTTTTCAATGCAGTGAATGTGGGAAATCTTTTACCGGGAACAGTGATCTTCGTCGTCATCAGATAGTTCATACAGGAGAAAAGCCTTTTAAATGCAGTGAATGTGGAAAGTCTTTTTCCCTTCGCCTTGCTCTCCAACATCATCAGAGAGTTCACACAGGAGAAAAGCCTTTTCCATGCAGTGAATGTGGGAAATCTTTTAAAAGTAGGAAAGGTCTTCAATATCACAGAGCTTACACTGGAGAAAGACATTATGAGTGCAATTAATGTGAGATATCTCCCAGTCTAATTTGTAAATTAGCTTTACAGAAAAGACTCCGGATGTGGTAAGGTTTTTAGATGTGTAGGAAATGTAGTTTGTTACTTAGGACTTAACAATTGTATAAGAAAGTAAGTAAAGTCTCATTAGTCTGAATTAATATCTCGTACATTTGATCACCTACATTATGTAACGTCCCCACAACTGTTTCTGCTGTTCTATTTCTTTGTTTTTATATTGGAAGTATACATATCTATGTTGTATTTTCTAACATACAGAGATGTCCTGCCATATCTCTGTCACTGCATATTTCTGTTACTGAAGGTATTTCCTCTGATCCACCTATATTTTAGCATCCTATAAAGTCCCTATAGATGGCATCAATCACCATCTCATGGGCACAAGGAAGCTAACTGTGTTGTCTAATTTGTTGAAGAAAATAGGAATATCTCATCCCTTAGTTCTTACTTGTATCTCTGCCATGAGTCGCCACATAGGACTGATTACTGTTGGTGCCAGTAAACATCATGTAGAAGATCTGTCATTTTGAAGGGCACGCTTTCCTACATGCTAATGTTGAGTTTATTTATTGAGTGCCTAAGTCATCAAGGGGAGAAATGCCAGTCTCAGGTCTCTTGTTTGTAAAATAATGAAGATTTTTTCCTAGGACTTCTTTAATGCTGGGTGTTCTATTTACTGTGTGGGTAGTTTATTAGAAGGCTGGGTCTCTCCAAGATGAGGTAAAAACTTTTACTCTCTAGTCCTCATGTGAAAATGGATGCTTTGAAACACAGAAGTCACTCAAAAGAGGTGGTAGCTGTGAGAACCTCAAGTATGTCTGGGAGCAGCGTGATTATTTTTGTTTTTAAGGGATGCTAAGACATTTGAAGAGATTCTTTCCTCCACGTGTTGCAGAGGGCCATGTGCCCTAATGTCTTCAATTCCATGGGTGATGGGCACTGGTTGGAGGACCATCGCAGTGAGGTCCTTCACTGCAGAAGTACTGACCTAATTCCATTACAGGGAATGGACTTTATGTAAAACCTGCACCCAGAACTTTTTTGAGGAAAAGACTACAGGAGCAGTCTGTACACATATCTGAGGAACTCCCGGCATGTTTGTCTTCTGTTCAGCAGTCACTGTCATTGATTATAATCAAGCGGTTTTGTGGTTTCTTGTAGCTTCTCATATATTCCCATCAAAGCCATTCGTGCTCTGGCAGCAAAATTAAGGGGAAAATAAAGTGTGTCTTTAGGCCAGAGATGTGGCTTTTGAGACCCAGTCAACATTGCAGTGGGTTTGGGTGAAAGTTCTTCATTGTTTGTTACATTTTGTGTCAGTGAGATGAGACTCGCCCAGAGGGCATAAGAATGTGGATTGGGTCATAACCTTTTTGGCTCAGTATATATAGGTCGTCATCCTGCGGACTTCAGAGTCCCAGGTTCCATTCTGGTCAAGGACATGTACCTTGGCTGTAGGTACATCCGTAGATGGAGTGTGCAGGAGACAGTTGATCCATGTTTCTAACTCTATTCCTCTCCCTTCCTCTCTGTAAAAAATAAAAAAAATATATATTTGGGGAAAAAGAATGTAGATTGAATATAGAGTTGAAAAACATGTT